TCCTGTAGGGGAAGATTTTGTAAACCGACAGTACCAAAACCCCTTGACTCGATCCTCTGTCGCGTCACGTGACGTGATGTATACGTCAGCACCCCCTCTCTTTCTCTCTCTCTCTCCATCGTTCGTCTCATATGACAAAAGAACAGAGACACAGAAAAAGATTTTAGTAGTTAATGCAATACTGAGTTATTTCAACCATATTCAATATTCCCCCACTCACATTCGCTCTAAGACTTAACTCAGGACTAAATAGATCGCTCAAAAACATTTTTATTTTATTTATTTCTTTAATTATTTTTATTTTTAATCCGTCAACATATCTCTCTCATTTATCCATTCAATAGGTCACAAAAACAGTTTCATCTTTAACCAACAGCCGATGTAACAACCAAAATACACCATTAGACTCTAAATGTCTAATTCTTTGTTCCTTTTTGTTTGTCTCAGCCTCCCCGCAACACAGTGTAACAGAGGAGTGACCTATCTACCCCAAATCCCCCGGGTTGTAGTTTTAGTAAACAACGTGTTGTAGTTTAGTACCGTAAACCAACGTCTCATAATCTCGTGCCATAAACTCCCCCGTTTTGTAGTGTAGTGTCATAAAATTAAACGCATGCGCAATACATTAAACGATACGATTCTCAGACAATAGAACGCTAGCATTCCGCTACAGCTTCACCATTTTACCCCCTATAATCAAACAATTACACTTAACAGAGCTCACAATTGCATAGAACTCTGAATTCTACACACACAAACATATTTTAAGAGGCTTTATTCCATCGCAATGGCCCCCTAAGGACACCCGTTAGCATGTAGCACGCAACACAATTAGCATTTAGCATTAGCATTAGCCGCTATGTACAATGTGGCATGAAACACAACCAGCATTCAGCATTAGCATTTATCATGTGGCGTGCAAAATGTAACAAGAAGCCTGCATTGTGCCTAAATTATTTTCCCTTTTCCACTAACTTTATGCTGCCGTGAGTTCAATGACCATCCACTGAGAGATTACCCCAAGCAGACACCCCGTCGGATGAAAGATGAGCAATAATCACAATCAGATAAATTCCATCAACCCAAGTTTTTTAGAACACACCAAATGCCCATCTAATGCGCAAACGGATTTTCGGCCCATCCTGGATGGCCTCGTTTCGAGGTCTTATCAGATTCACAATGACCTAATGTATACGTATCTCTGCCTTTAATATCTCCCCTATTATTTGCCTTAATATCTGCCGTTAATATCTGCCTTCAATTGCTGTACAATTTTAGAATAATTATGACAGACCCTTAGTCGACAGCAATAACGCCACACGAGGCACATTTCGGTCCTAATGGTACATTTCTCCAGTGCACAATCACATAGCATCCAAACTAACAAACTTCCAAAGCGGTGAGGAAAAACTCACCCTTTTCTGGCCATGACTTCAGAACGAGTTAGCTTGGCGGCAACGAATGAAGCAAAGGGGAGATGCAGACCAGCCCCACGTTGGGCACCATTTGTCGTATCGAGTAAATGCTGGCAATTATTGCTGTCAAACAAAGGAGTCCGCTCATACTGAACCTTGATCATACGTTTTATTCATATCACAAGCTTTCAGCATGAGTTACAGACTTGCAGGGTCTGGAGAAACAGCGTCCCAAACATAATCTGTCTGTTTCTGACCCCCTCTTTGTCTAGCCCATACTTATAAACAATACCAAAATATGGGTTGCTCCCTCTGCTGTCCAATCACCTGTCTCCCCTGGGGCGTCACCCTACAACTGGCTACTTTTGAACTAAGATAAACATCCCCCCTTCCTTGTTCCTCTAGAATAGTCATAATGTTAATATACTACACCTGGTATACTCCTGGCTGGTCTCAGACGATCCCGCAGGTGAAGAAGCCGGATGTGGATGTCCTGGGCTGGCGTGGTTACACGTGGTCTGCAGTTGGGAGGCCGGTTGGACGTACTGCCAAATTCTCTAAAACGACGTTGGAGGTGGCTTATGGTAGAGAAATTAAAGTTACACTCTCTGGCAACAGCTATGGTGGACATTCCTGCAGTCAGCATGCCAATTGCATGCTCCCTCAAAACTTGAGACATCTGTGGCAGTGTTGTGTGACAAAACTGCACATTTTAGAGTGGCCTTTTATTGTCCCCAGCACAAGGTGCACCTGTGTCATGATCATGCTGTTTAATCAGCTTCTTGATATGCCACACCTGTCAGGTGGATGGATTATCTTGGCAAAGGAGAAATGCTCACTAAGAGGGATGTAAACAAATGTGTGCACAAAATATACGAGAAATAAGCTTTTTGTGCGTATTGAACATTTCTGGAATATTTTATTTCAGCTGATGAAACATTGGACCAACACTTTACATGTTGCATTTATATTTTTGTTTAGTGTACATAACAACATAATGGTAATAATTGTTTTGAATGTTAAATCTCTATTGATAAACTGGGTAAATCAACCAAGATATAGCCTAGGTCTATTCACAATACAGGTGAATGCATATTGAATAGTGTGTGTGCATACATTAAGTTATTGAGCTTATTTTGGCTGATTTCATGAGGCTGCAGATGACAAACAATATTTTTTCCTTCCATTTGGGGCTTATTTTATTATACTGATCAACAACATTTGCATAAAAGAAGCAACCTCTTCTTTTATAAAAGTGCGCTCTGTCTCTTTAAGACCTAATGATGTCATTCACACAGGGTAGAGGGACTGTACTCTTTGAATGGACGACTATGATTGAAGG